TTTATACTGAAATTAACGGGATATTACATAAGTCACTGTGAATTTGATGGTGCTGGCGGAGGGTGGAGGTGGTCAGGCCCTGAACAACGGCCTGCATCTGACACATCAAATCTTTCATCCCATTGGGCCCGAAGCAGCTCCATTGAGCCCGACTTGGGAGGGGCAGATTGGTTGGGATGGCTTCCCTTCTCGACATGGTCCTTCACCGACCTCTTCGTGTATATTCGCATACACTCTTCTTCAATAATATGATCCATCGCCACAATAGACATGCATTCTTCTACAGAATTTACCTGCGGCTCAGGCGGGGTCTTCTGGACGGAAATGGTGATGGACTCACCTAACACCGTCATGTTCAGCGTCCCACTCTTGAGATCAATCATCGTGTTTGTGGTCGCCATGAACGGTCGTCCGAGGAGAATGGTGTGACCCTTTCCATTTTTCTTGCACTTCTCCCACATCTAGCACGATGAAGTCCACTGGGATGATCAACTTCCTCACTCGAACAAGCACATCCTCAACAATTTCTGCTGGTTGGCGGAACGAGCGATCAGCCAACTGTAAGCGCATCGTGGTAGGCTTCAAGTCTCCAAACTCGAGACTGTGATAAACTGCAAGTGGCATGAGGTTTATGCCCGATCCTAGATTCAACATCCCCAAGGTCTCTTCCCTATTCCCGAAGGCCATAGTGATCACGAAGCCTCCGCCGGGGTCCTTTTCTTTCTTTGGCAGGTCATACTGGAAGACACTCACCGCCTCGCATATAATCACCCAATCGCTACTCTCTACCCGCCTCTTATTCGTTGCTACTTTCTTACAAAATTTGGCGTAGGTCAGGATTTTCTTCATCATGTCAGGAGAAGATAAATCAACATTGTCCTTAGCCAACATGATATAGAGGTCTCGTATCAGCTTATGGTCCTTCTCCTCCAAAAGTCAGCTCGGGAATGGAATCTTCCGTCTGTACGGGTTCGGAGACTTGTGCGAGGCCGGCTCAGTAGGCGGTATCACCGAATCTTCTTTCGTTCTCCCATGCTCCTTCAGGCCCTCCTTTAATTCCTTCACCTTTTCGGGGATAATCATGGTCACCAAATTCTCATGCTCCGGCTGACTCGACAACTTCTCTTTGTTCAACTCAGTCTCGATGGTCCCAACCCATGTGGCTAGCTGGCCCACTTGCGTCTCAAGACGCTTGATTGATTCATCTTGGTTCGTGATATACTGAAGAATCTTGTCCAACTTATCATCTTGGTTTGATGGACTCGGGCCTGCCCCCTGTTGTTGCTGTTGTTGAGGGTAGTTCGTTCTCATTTGCTGCTGAGGAACAAAGGCGGCCTGTGGTTGCTGTTGAGTGAAATTCTGACGAGGTTGCTGAATGTTATTATTGTTGGCCCAAGAGAAGTGAGGGTGGTTTCGCCACCCAGGGTTGTATGCGTTCGAATAGGGGTCGTTCCTGGGCCTGCTCTAATATCCTTGCACAACGTTCAACTCAGCTCCTTGCCCCCCATAGTTTGGCTCGATAGCCATAGGGTACACCTCAGAACTGTGTCCCTGTACTCCTCATGCTCCACAAGCACTCTCTCTATTGTCTGAATCGGTGAGGAACTTCTAGCATTCAGTAGCCGCATCTGCTCCTTGAGCTCGGCTAACTGCTGGGCCATGACGTTATTGCCCGGTCCGACCTTGTTCACAGACTTTTTTCCTCTGATGCTTTTCTGAGACGAGTTAGCACTCATCGTCTCGTAAATCGCAATCATCTCTTCGACAGTTTTGGCCCCAATATCCCCTCCGACTGCGTTGTCCACCATGTATTGCATGTTCTGGTGGAGGGAATCATAGAAACAATTCGCCAATAGCCCAAGAGCGAGGTTGTAGTGGGGGCACTGCCTCTGCAGATCCTTGAAATGTTCCCAAGCCTCGTGAAGAGGCTCGCTTGGCAGTTGAGCGAAAGAGACGATTTGGGATCAGCTGTCTTGGGTCTTTTGATGGGAATAGTTCCCGAAAAATTTCGAGTAGACTTCAGCCCAAGTTGTTAGAGAATATGGGGCGAGGGTCATAAACCAAGCCTTGGCCCGGTCCTTCAGCGTCTCTGGGAAGCACCGCATTTTCAGTTGGTCCTCGGTCAACCCACGCAGAGGAAACATCTGGAGGACGTTGTAGAACTCCCGGAGAAAGTGGAGTGGATCTTCATTAGGGAGCTCGTGAAATGAAGGTAGCTGGTTGTAGTGGACCATTTTCATTTCATAGTTGCGGGCGGCTTGAGGCAACTAGGGTTGTAAACGAATCGAATCAAAGTGAATACTCAGAGATTCGATTCAAATTCGTCAAAATATTCAAAGATTCGAATTCGTATTCGATTCATTAACGAACTAATTTTTTGATTTGTATTCGATTCGTTTAGAATATTCAAACATATTCTATTCATTTTGAAATTTGTTTTAAAAACAATTATAATTAAAAAATATTATAATTACAAAAAATAATTTTTATTTTTCATATATTTTTAGGAAAATTTGTTAAATTATGATGTTTTTTACTTTTTTATGTCATAAAAATAGTACGAATACAAATATATATATATATACATATATATTATAAACAAAATGTATACTATATAAAATTTATATAATTATTGTTAACGAATCGAATATTTGAATTTCGAAACGAATATCTACAAATTCGAATTCGGATTCGTTTAACTTTCGAATATAAAACATTATTCGTATTCGAATTCGAATTCGAATATTTCGAATTCGAATCACGAATATCAAATTCGAATATCGAATCGAATAAAAAAAATTGATTTGTTTACAAGCCTAGTGACAATCGAATGCAAGATGTGATTGGCCCGATCATTGGTTGGGCCAGGTTTCTGAGGACATTACGGGGAGTTTGTTGTTCAGCCATGTCAAAATTGCTTCCCTCGGATGATTTCGGAGAATGCTTGCCTCCTTCGGGTGATTCGAGAGTAAGCTCGTCCAGCAGCTCTCTCAGGCTCTCGTTGATGGACTTGTTGATCAGAGATAGTATACGTCCACTCCTGGTACGCATACACTCAGACAACAAAAGGTTATGAGCACCAATAATAAATAGAAAAAAGAACAAGGAAAAAAAGATCAAAGGAAATCACTACAACTAAACGAGAAAATGAAACACAAAAATTCAAGAGATCACGAAAATAAGAGAAACACTGAAAAGAAAAAGAATAGGCGCACAAAATAAGTCCTAAACCTTTCCCGACAACGACGCCAATTTTGTTGTAAATATTTTTACCGGTGTAGAATCGAAAGATTCGAACACTGGGTCGTACCTCAAGGAAGGTTGGCCGGATTATTTTGCACGATTATTCAATCACACGAAAAGATAAATCAAGTCCTAAACACTCTAATTCGATTGTTTTGGGTTTCAACTAACAGCTAATAATTCGCAAACGAGGCAATTCGAAAATTCAATAGCAAACAAATAAACTTGATTATAAATAAGTTAGGGAGTTGGGGAAAATCGTTTTCGGTTCTTGACTCAATTACTGGGCAATCATTTGCTCGGTTAAAGGGTTTGGGTCGCCTACTCGTATGGAGGTTCACCTTCAATAACTCTTCGTAACAAGAAGGTCAACATAAACGAGCAACTCATCAAATCCAAAAACACATAGACAATACAATAACGAACAAGTCTATTCTAAACGATTCTAAATCGACCGACGTCTCCCCTCTCGGTTCTAAACATCGATTAATTAGGTTAGAATGGTGATCAATCAACTAACCCTTGAATACACAACTCGCATAGATTGAGCAATTATCAAGCATGTAATAAAAAATGAACCGAAACAATCATCCCCTATCCCTAACTTATGGAATTAGCCACTCATTACAAGTTCAACACAAGAATTCACAATTAAACAAGCCATCATATTCATTTACAAAATGAAAAGAAGTGCTTACGATTATTATCAAATCCAATGTCGAAAGAACAACGAGCAAACCGAATCCAAAAGCTAGAAAAGGAGTTCTCTACTCTCCAAATAATAACAAGCAAAACCAAGAGAGAAAATCTGTTCTAGAAGTGAAAAACGAAAATAAACAAGTCTGGAATGAGCCAAAATTCCCTAAGCTCGATCTGATATCCTTTCCCAATTTAAATTCCACGAAAATCGCATCAGTTACAAAATAGGGGTTAGCGGCGCTAACCCCTTAGCGCCGCTATGGGTGGAAAAGGCCGAGCTGCTGGGGGTCGTTATGCTGTGCAGCGCCGCTAGCTGGGTTGGCCTTAGCGGCGTTATGTCTTGGGCAGCTTCCAAAATTTCGATGTTTTGGACTCGTGAGGTCTCGTCTAGCATTTGTCAGGTACTGCCCGAGCTATAAACTCAATCTCAGCATGCTTAAGTCATACCAACCAATGTGGAAAACCTAGGAACCGAAACTGAATACCGCTATCATCATCTGAAACCTGAAAACCACCACAACCGAACAAACACAAGAGACAAGAAAAATAGAAAAGAAAACACAGAAAATACTAAACACACCAAAATAATACTAAAACACGAGAAACGACTAGAAGGACCGAAAAATCCTAAGAAATGGCCTAAAAACGGGGGAAACGACACACAAAATACTAAACGAAAACGACACACAAGGACCACATGTGTGACAAGGTACGGGTCGTTTGAATTTGTGGTGAGAGTCGTGATAATCTTTCAGCATCTCGCGCCTCATTCCTCCCGATGGAATATACATCCTTCGACCTTTGGCATAGAGTAAGCCGTCCTCTAGCCAATACTTGCGCACTTCACCGGCTGCCACTTGCTCGACGAGTTTTACATAGACAGGGTCTTTAACGGATTCACCACGGACTTTCTCAATAAAGTCAAACTCAACAGCATACAAGGCCAACACATAGGACGCCACAGTCTTTCGATTCAGAGCATCAGCAACATCATTATGTTTCCCCGGCCGATGGACCCAATTGAAATCAAACTCCCCCAAGAATTCTTGCCACCGTGCTTACTTTGGGGACAACTTCTTCTGAGTTCGAAAATAAGTATTGGCTACATTGTCCGTAACAACCGTGAACCTTGTTCCCAACAGATAGTGACGCCATATTTCCAAGCAATGGATCACATCCGTCATTTCCTTCTCGTGGGTACTGTATTGGGTCTCAGCATCCTTCAATTTATGACTTTCAAACGCAATAGGATGTTTGTCTTGGACCAACACCCCACCAATAGCACTATCTGAAGCGTCTATTTTTACCTCGAATGGTTGGTCGAACTTTCCCAACTTCAATATCGGCTCTTTGGTCACTGCTTGCTTCAGTAAATCAAAGGCAACTTGTTGAGCTTTGTCCCACTCCCAACACATGTCCTTCTTCAATAAATCCATCAATGGGTTGACTAGCTTGGAATACCCTTTAATGAATCTTCGGTAATAATTTGCTAGCCCTAAGAAGGAGCGCAACTCGGTCACTTTAGATGGTTCGGGCCAATCAGCAACAACCCGCACATTTTTAGAGTCCATGCGAATACTTCCTTGGCTGATGATGTGCCCATGGAAGAAAATTTCCTCCGGACAGAATTCGCATTTCTCCTTTTTAGCATACAACTTGTTTTCCCTTAATTTATCAAGCACACATCGCAAGTGCTTGACATGCTCATCAACCGTCTCAGAATACAGTGTCGTCCAAATATACAACCACAATTAGGTTAGAATGGTGATCAATCAGCTAACCCTTGAATACACACAACTCGCATAGATTGAGCAATTATCAAGCACGTAATCGAAAATGAACAGAAACAATCATCCCCTATCCCTAACTTATGGAATTAGCCACTCATTGCAATTTCAACACAAGAATTCACAATTAAACAAGCCATCATATTCATTCACAAAATGAAAAGAAGTGCTTACGATTATTATCAAATCCAATGTCGAAAGAACAACGAGCAAACCGAATCCAAAAGCTAGAAAAGGAGTTCTCTACTCTCCAAATCCAAAACAAGCAAAAACCAAGAGATAAAATCTGTTCTAGTAGTGAAAAAACGAAAATAAACAAGTCTGGAATGAGCCAAAATGCCCTAGGCTCGATCTGATATCCTTCCCCAATTCAAATTTCACGAAAATCGCATCAGTTACAAAATAGGGGTTAGCTGCGTTAACCCCTTAACGCCGCTATGGGTGGAAAAGGCTGAGCTGCTGGGGGTCGTTATGCTGTGCAGCGCCGCTAGCTGGGTTGGCCTTAGAGGCGCCATAGCCTTGGCAGCTTCCAAAATTTCGATGTTTTGGACTCGTAAGCTCTCGTCTAGCATTTCTCGGGTACTGTCCGAGCTATAAACTCAATCTCAGCGTGCTTAAGTCGTACGAACCATTGTGGAACTCCTAAGAACCAGAACCGAATACCGCTATCATCATCTGAAACCTGAAAACCACCACAACCGAACAAACACAAAATACAAGAAAAATAGGAAAGAAAACACAGAAAATACTAAACACAACAAAATAATACTAAAACACGAGAACGACTAGAAGGACCGGAAAATCCTAAGAAATGACCTAAAAACGTGGGAAACAACACACAAAATACTGACGAAAATGACTACAAAATGGAACAAACAGAGCATTGTTCCAGAAATATTTTCTGGAATTAAACAAAAAATTGTTTGAAAAACTTTTTTGTAGATTATTTTTTTACATTCCAGAAACGATTTCAGGAACTGAACATTATTCCAGAAGTGGTTTATGGAATTAAACAAAAAAAAATTCTGGAATAATTTTTTTTTTTAAATTTCTCGAACATATTAGTTTTCCAGAAATAATTTTTGGAATTCTATCTGAAAATTGTTTGTCGAATAATAGTATCTGGGTCGCGGCTGAGATTCGAGCCGCGGTTGAGCTTAGCTCTCGGCCAACTTTGGTTGAGAACTCAACTGGCGCTGAACTTAAATCCCAACTGGTCGTGAAAGTGCAACCGACTGTGATATATATATA